ATTTCATTACCAAGCTTAAAATTCACCATCTTTATTAACTTATCACTACTCACGATGACTTTGATAGCATTGATCCTAGCAGTATGCAGGACACCTATCCTATATGGACTCAGCTAAATGACCTCGCTCTCCACGAGTTCTCGTAGCTTAGTGGATAGAGCGCCCGCCTGGTGTTCAGGAGGTCATGGGTTCGATTCCTGTCAGGGACTCGGAATTTTTCTTTGTCCCACGCTCGTGTCATGTTGATTAACGCACCCTCCCAATAATTTACTTTGATACCACTGGTGAACCATGGTGCAACCAAACTCACCTGAAATGCAGCCAAAGCATAACCCAGAAAGGTTAAAGATTAGGTATAATAAGAGACTAAAACCTGCTTAAGTTGCATTGTATGCCTGAAGTATTTCAATTTTTGTAAATTAATGTGGTTTAAAGAGGAAATTAAACCTACACAGCACCTAGCTACATGTACACTGAAAAATGCCACGAGTGCTTGCCTGTTGTAGCTCCACTGGTTAATGTATCTCACTAGTCAAATTGTTCACTTAATATGGCTATACTCATCTGGTATTCAAATAAACTGATCAGCTGAGTGTATTACTTTAAAGATAGATTTGGTTATCTGATCATGAACTTCTATTTCATTTTCACCCACAGACTGCTGTGTTCATCAGAGAGCTTTTCATGGGTCTACTGTACAGTATCATGGGTGCACTGTTTAGTAAATGTGCACCCTCTGCAGAACAAGGGTTTACAGAAGATTTTGATCCTCCCTTAAAAGATGGACTCAAGTGTTGCATTTGTCATCATGGTCTCCGTAACGCAAAACAAACTCACTGTGGCCACAGATTCTGTGAAAGTTGCATAAACCAATCTATAAGGTAAGAGTTCAATTTTCATCATTATTTGATGATGGGTAAACCATAGTTAGTAGAGGGGTAAACATTTCAATTTATAATTTGTGTTATAAACATTAAATTGTGAAATTCAATATCATAACCTAGCATGGAGCTAGGATTTTGAAAAATGTGCTTTTCAAATTGGATTTAAGCCCTGCCAGGCTGTTATCCAAAAACCATAGTGTAATGAACATTCACAAAACAATACATCACTCACCCACTTCACTTATTATAAGTACAGAAAGTAAAATATATGCATAATAATTGAAATGTCATGTTCATGGCAACTGTTGAAAGACTGAATTGTCACTTGCTAGACAACTTGTTGCGATGAGACTAGCATGTGTGGGAGATGCTTTACTTATCGAATAAAGCCAGAGATCACGGAAAATCAGCTGTGGTTGATGATGATTTAATTGACGATAATCAAACGTAAACTGAAATACAGTGCAGTGAATAAACTAATTACTAGATAATAGAAGATTACAAGATGACAAGAGTCACAAAACAGTAATAGCAAACATTCCAATCATAATTGCGGTGTGACAATACTTCCAGTCAAACTTCTCGGTAAAGACACAATTAAAAATCATCAGTGATCCCAAGCAGATACACATACTGCTAACTGTCCTAATACAATAAATGATAACACTCTAAAATCTTGAAAGCAATAAAATTGCACGATGCGATAAAAACATGCTTGCGAGAGCGCCACTGAAAGCGATGTGGGAATTTACTAACAAGGAAAGGACTTTTAACTGAATTACCAGAGATTCTCGTAGGAAACTGCTAAATAGAAACCTAAGCTAGCTAGGGGGAGTATAAACTATAAAGATCTATCGCTAAAACAAGATGAAATAAAAACTTTGAAAACTGAGGTTCTGCCATGTGTTGGACTTAGAACAATAGGCTGTAACCTGTTGTATAAAAACCGAGACTAAAGGTACTTAAGGTTAAAAAACATCCAAACTTGAAATTTATACTAAAAAACAAGCATAGAAAATAGTTTGTACTTAAACATCAGTTCCCGCTTGCACTCTAAATAGTCAAGGGTAGCTTAAAACTTAATTTACTTAAAAACACGTACTGTGCACGATAACTGAAACTTGAACTGCTGGTGGGAATATACCGCTAACACTATCTATAGTCCACGTGAAAAAAAAATTAATGATGTCATTGCTAAGCAACAAATTAGCGAATCAGAAAGAATCAAGATTACTCACTTAATTAGAGAGGCCTCGATACAGTGTTCATTACAATACTTACATAATAACTGAACAATGCATGTGTTACTTTATTAAGTATAAGAAGCTGGGAACTCTACTGTGCGAGTCAAAAAACCATGAACACTTTGATTGACAGGTCAGTTGTGTACTGACCAATCACAATAAAGTTCAGGACACCCGAACAAACCTAAAAACCACACACTAAACTACTTTTCCTGTTTGCGGCTTAGTTTTCTCACCCCTAATTGGCTTTCTCCTTGATTTTGCTGATGATCAATGAGTAATTTAATGGATGAATAATTGTTAGGCCACAAATTTTCAGTCATTGATTAGTCATCAATATAATCTTGACCACAAAAACCATACCTAATGGTAAATAAGAAATTAAATGAAAACGTATTGGATTTCATTTTTCTCAGTGATAGCCACCACAAAGCAATGGATGAGAAAAGAATCTAAAGTTAAGCTTCCTATGAATTCATGTGAATGTTGACCTAGCAAGTTTCAAAAAGTTTATTCATTTCACACTAAAAACGGAATGTTGTTAGGGAAAAAGTCTTAAGTGTGACTTCAAAATGAGTGCTCAACTGATACATTAACCAATTAAAAATTAACATAATGCTTCTTTATTGTACCTGAAGGAACAAGGGGAGAAAATGTCCAGTTTCTGGTTGTGAGCACCCTATTGGTACTTCAGAGGTAAGTAAACCGACCATTACACAACTGTACTGTAGCTGCAAGAGCTTAAAAATTATCAAATATGCCTCTTATAAGAGGTATCATATTTTAAGTGACTACTTTTCTAAAATAGCTCTTTCCGCAGTCAAATTACTTTGGTCAAAATCTCTAGTAATTAGAACAAGTCACCTCTTGGAAGTGACTGTTAGCCGTTTTTATTTGGACTCCAAATTGAGCAGTCTGGATTAGAGCTTTGGAAAGGGTCATTGAAATTGTGTTTTTGGGCAGGACATTACTCTCACATTACTACTCTCCACCCAGTTGTATAAAGAGATTCTGAGGAATTTTATTACTAGGAGGCACCAGCCCTGCTGTGGGATTACATTTAGGTGCTTAAAAGCTGCAGGAACTGAAATTTGCTGTTGGAGATGGGACATTTTGGCCTGATAAGCCTTAAGCTACAGTGTATACAAGTTTAGCTTTTAATGTTGATGAAATGGGGAATAAGATTATTTAATAGTTTGGACTCAGACAAAAGTTTAAACTACTGTACTTAATTTTCCTTAGTTTGTTCACATGTCTACTTATGTTTTCGAACTTCTAGCTGTACCCAGATAACTTTGCCAATCGTGAAATTTTGAAAGCAAATGTTCGCTGCAAATTGAAACAGACACATGGTTGCGCTTGGAAAGGACCATTACAGGACTTTGAGGTAAACAAGCCTAGCAGACTAGAATTTTATGTGAAATAAATGTTACCAAGTGCATTGAGGTAAATTGCTATGCACAGGCAGGAGAGGAAAGGCTCAAATCTACTCCAGTGAAATCATTTATTTTCTTTGATTTCTTTGATAAATCATAATTCTGCAAAAAGACTTGTGCAAACACAAGAAAACGAAAGTATTAGTTTGCACAGAAAACAAACTGTCATGTTACACACATTTGCAATAATTCATAACCTGGCTGATAATAATGGTGCAAGTGGGTAATATGTGTGAGCAAGTAATTTGTTTTTGAAAGGCACACAAAGGAGGCAAAGTCAATACAAAGCAGAATTGACCCTTTTGCTTTATTTGCATGTCAAACTGCTCATAACTGCAATACCACTTATCTAACAGCCATTCAAGGTAGATCACAGAGCCACCAAAACTCTTGAAGTTGACGTTTGATTACACTGCACAACACAAATTGACAATTGTTGTATTGTATTGTGAAGGGCTGAGTCGAAAACAAGATAAGTAGTTTAGTAAGTAAATTTAAGACTATGTTTCTTTTTCTTTTTCTACTCTACTTTCACTAATCTGATGAATCTTTTTCTGAAGTGAAAAATGCCAAGCAATTCAACCAACCTTTTTATGTATTTTTTTCAATTTTAGTATCATTTGAATATGACATGCCTATATGTGTCAGTAAAATGTGACTGTGGTTGTGAAATTCCCCGAGGGGACCTGCAAAGACATGTTTTAACAGGATGTCCCCGAACGAAGGTAAGATACTGGTAATATCATGTTAATTCTTATTTGAGGAATTAAGAAGTATGAAAGAACTTTGCGTTCTTGTCCAAGGCTCTTAGGATTAGCTGTTTGCTTAGAGAGTACTATGGTCATGTGAATTACACATTCCAAGTTTGACATTTGACCTCCACATGCAACAGAAAGTCTTTTGACCTTCATGTAGACCTTTATTTTGACAAAAGAGACATTAGAAAAAAAAAAACTTCTGTTGAGACACAACTTTGCTAGTGGACACCTCTGACTAGGAGACACTTTGTCATGGTTCCAGCCACAAACAAACACTCAGTTTATAGAGGGTCTAAAATAGGGTTTACAAATTCTGCTTCCCACCACCAACTTTTCCTCTATCCCGCCATCCTGTTTGCTTTGACGCGTCATCCTAATCCCGCAAAGTTCCGAAGTATTTTATTAATGTATGACAAGACAATGTTTTTCCCTGATGAGAACCTGGGTTGCCGGGTTAAGATGTGACTTGTCTTTTAGAATTTTGATGGATTCTATAGAAAAATCAACAAGCCTGCGACAACGGTCAGACTACAAATTGATTTGCTGAAAAAGATCAGAAATTCAGACATTCTCTGAAAGATTTAGAGTGGACAAAAAAGCCAAAATAGAGAAGTTGAGAGTTACCATGTGCTGTCTGTGTTGTTAACCTAATTTTCACCATCTTACATCCCGTTTCGTACACACACACACACACACACACAAAAAAACTTGCACATCCTGCCATTAAAATAACTAATCTCCCGGCTTGCAATCCCACATCCCAGCAGTGAAAAACGGTTCATCCTGCATCCTGCCAACCCTTTGTTAGACCCTCTGCATATAAAAATATTTAGACACTTTGTTTAGTCCTAAGGATGATTTTTTTTCCCCCAAGGATGATTGTACTTACAAAAGAATCACCACTAATTTACCTGCTTTTAGGTGTGGTTACTGTCTGGGCAAAGAACACCAAACATTTCCAAACATTTCCTGTCATTGTTTTGAACAAAAAACACTCAATTTCCTTTCCAATTGACAAATGTAAGGGATCAACTTGTTTACTTTGTTTCACCTGGAAAAAAGCTTAAATTCCCTTTTTTTGGGAAAATTTCATCCTCCCACAAAACATTGCATGGACAAAAGAAATGTGGGTCTAAAAATGATTAAAAGCAACTCATTCACACTTACATGTAGTGTGTGCTTTTTTTCTAACAATTCTATAGGATTGGAGACAGGAAGCTATTGTCATTGAGCATAGAGCTGAGGATGAGGTCAGTCCATTACCATTCCCTGTCAAGGAAATGGACAGAAGTTCATCTCCTGGACAGATCACTGGAACAAGGCGTCCTGTGGAACATCATCAGGGAAAAGAACTAACTTCCAATGTGAAGCAGCTACGAGAGGCTGGTAATGAATCTAAGCAGTTAGATTCCCCTGTCAAGCCAAAGCCATATCAAAGCCGTGAAGATGGTAAAAAAGGTCATGGTTTTGATCCACCCCCACATCAAAAGGAAGGAAGCAATGCAGCCAACTGGTTGGGCCCTGCTCTTGAGCTAAAAGAGCAATTGGAGCAGGGAAATGAGGCCAAGGAGTTGTATCCACCAGCTGAGCCAAAAGAGTCATTGGCACTCCAAAACAATAAGGGTAATGAAGCAAGTGAGTTGGAAGTTCCACTAGCTGAGCCAAAAGAGCCACTGTCACTTCAAAAAGAAGATGGGGATAAAGCCAACAGGCTATACCTGCCTGTTGAGGCACAAGAGTCATTGGCTCATCAAAAGGAAGATGGCGATGAAGCAAACAGGTTAGACCCACCTGTTGAAACAAGAGATTCATTGGCCCATCAAAAGGAAGATGCCAATGAAGTGAATGGGTTTGACCCTTCTGGTGAGCCAAAAGGTCTGCTGGCACATCAAATGGAAGATGATAATGAAGCCATCTTCCTGGATGGACCTGGTGAGTCAAAGGAACCATTGGCTTGTCAAAAGAAAAATGGTTATGAAGTGAATGGGTTGGACCCTCCTGCTGAAATGGAGGAAGGCAACAAAGCCATTGCACTGGATCCACTTGCTGAACGTAAAGAGCCATCGATGTACCAAAAGGAAGATGGTAATGACGTGAATGAGTTGGACCACCGTGGTGAGCCAAGAGAGTCAATGATGCATCAACTGGAAAAAGATAATGAAGCCATTGTACTGGATCCACCTGCTGATGTTGAGCCATTGATGTACCAAAAGCAAGATGGCAATGAAGTGAATGGGTTGGACCATCCTACTGAGCCAAAAGAGTCATCGATGCATCAAATTGAAGAAAGTAATGAAGCCATTGCCCTGGATCTGCCTGTTGAGTTAAAAGAGCCATTGATGTACCAAAAGGAAGAAGGGCACAAAGCTGATGAGTTGGATCCATTTGTGAAGCCAAATGAGCCAGATCCGCCTGTGCATCCAAAGGAAGATGGTTGTGAAGCCAACAGGCTCGATCTTTCTGCAAAGCCAACAGAGCCATCGCCATGTCAAGGGGAAGATGCCAAGGGTTTGAATGTCAGTTCCCAGAACCATGTCCCAAGTTTCATTTAATGGTGCATGTACCAACTACCTTGACAAAAGAGTTCCCTATAAGAGTCAAAGTTTACTATTAGATTCATGAGTATCAGTTTAGTGTTTTACGTTTTATCATAGTTCAATAATTGATTTGTTGCTATATCTTTAACCACTGTTAATTAGTTTTGTTATAAGTTTGGTTTGTTAGCTTGCTATTTTTAATGCTGATTAAGGCCCTTCAATGGCCAATTCCCTCTATGAGATGTACCTGCAGGGAATCACAGTAGTTGTATAATCGTCAAAACAAACATCCAGTCCAAGATGATGAATACAACTTAACCATGATTCCCTGTAGGACATCTCATATGGGCAATTGGCCATTGATAAAATATAGTTTTTTCATTTAGTTATAGGAGAGCTCGAGTGTATGTTTCGGCCCTTTGAAAAGGACGACATTTTGTCCTTCCTTCAGAGAAATAGGTGGGAGAATCAATCAGATTTGTGGTTTTGGGCTTCGCACTTTTTAACCATAACTGTGATTACATGGAAACTGGTTAGCAAGAAAAAAAATCATTCTATGGCTCAATCTTTTTCCAGGGATCATATTGAGACTGGCTGATGTGTCTTTTAATTAACTGAAATGCCTAATCATAATTATTGCTTCAACATGTTATGATTCTCTCTGATATGACAACCAAGAACCGTGACTCTGCTTGGAAATTCGATCTTACTATTATTAGCATAGATTTTTTACAATTATTCCTTCATTTTCTTCTTAGTTATAGTTTTGATTGAGAAGATATAGTAAACACTTGGGACAATGTCTTGCTATGTTTCAAAAGACATGCAGGGAGTTAGGTACAGTTTTCAGCAAAAAGGCAATTTATTTTCACAGGTAATCAAAATGTTTAGAAATGGTCAACCCTTTCTAAAAGAAAACCTTTCCTCTGAATGGTCAAACCAGGCAGGTGAAATTGTCCCCACAACCATTCAATGTACTCAATGAAACCCTTGAATACCTTGAAATTCATCAAAACCACTCCACTGCCCACCATATTTTCAACTCTCCTTGGTCTTCTTGTGAATTGTGGTAAACATTGTCTCCCTTGTTTAACTGATATATTGCTTGAAATTTTTGCATGCAAATGAACGTTGGTCAAAACTAAGCAGTGAAAAGGGCCAAATATCGGCAAAATATAAACATCACTTAACTTCGGGGTGTTTTATCTGTCACATTGTGCGATATAAACTTACAACCTTTTAGCTGTAACTTAATGTTTCTAAGGATATCTGAAAGAGTATCCTAAGAAGTGAGAGATGGCTTTATCAAACTACTGTTGACATGAAAGTAACACCTCTTAAGCCCAAATGGCTCATTAAAAACCAGTTTTGTTCCAAATCACAAGTTGTTGTTCTTGTTGAATTGCTTCTGCCATGTTTATTTTTGCAAAGCTTGGTAGGAAATTATGACATCATTGTGCAGCTGATTGGTTTTAAAATACAGGATTGCATGAATCTGGATATAAAAGTGGTTCTAATCATTTGTATTATTTCATATTCCAGATGAATATGTACAGTTCCTATAAGAAATCTTCTTCTGTAGACTCCATCTTGAGAACTGTGAATGTGCAATGGCATCATAAATTACCATAAAGTAATTATGGCAATGTCCAGGTGATTTAAACTGAAAACCAAACAATATGTATCCGAAACACTCACAGTGATACCAAATTGAAATCCCGGTTCAGTTAATCATTGATAAAAGGTCATAACTACCGTTCAGTATGTTGGATGTTTGGTAGCATTTAAGGTGGCCGAACACAGTTTCCGCGCACACTCTTACTAAGGCAATTCAGTGTGTGCACAAGGATTGCCAAAAAAAAAATGTGGCGTCAATACAGCGATCATTTTATTTCCTCAATGCCCGAGCTATCAGTCTGTGCTATTTTTCTTCATAATTGAACAGAGTGTATTGATGGTTTAAGTCTTTCATTACAAAGGTATGTTAGCAAAGGTAACAACGCAAAGAACCAGCAATTCTAACTTTTTTTGTTACCAAAAGAACCCAGCTAAATGCAGCGTATGTGTAGTAATTCCAAAAATTGCAACTGAAAGCAGAATAGCTTGGAAATATGCCCATTTCTTGAGAACCACTCATTAGAATTTCACAAAATCTGGCATAAAAATACTTCAGGAAATAAGTCACTGGAGTATTGGAAAAAAATTAACTTTAACAGAGGAAATTCTAGATATTTCAGTGAACCTTCAACAAGGGATAATTAAAGATCTCAGTTAAATTATTATTAATAAAAATAGTGTTAACTTGTGAGTATCGTTACAAGATTGCTGTATGCAAGTCATAAATAAAATCTAATGACTAGGTATTCTGCAAATAAACAAAACCCTGATTATATTTATTCATGTTGCCATGGCAACAGCACATACATCAGCTTAACTATCAAAAAACCGAAGTTTGTGTTAGTAAATTGCTTGCTGCCATTTTTGGTGATCAAAGGATCAAGGCTTTTAGAGAAAAAGGTAAATGTGACACGGGTATCAAAAACTGAGTTCCATGACAGCCACCTTAAACACTTGGGATTACAATTCAAGTTATGGCAGTTTCTTTATGCATTTCTCAACCAATAACAGAACCATGAAAAATAGTGAGGGTTATCTGGAGAAACACAGATTAATTAGCGTTCGTGCTGACTATATATTAGGTGAAAGATGCATTTCATTTGAAATCACACAACACAAGTACGTAGAGTGCTTTTCTTTGCGGCAGAACCCAGCATGTAAGACGCATGCATTCTAGCATTGTTAGCATGATATACTGTGTTTTCATCCCCAGAGCCACATGTTTTTTTGTATGTCATGTGACATGACCAAGGACAGCAATTATTTTTTGAGTTACGTCACTTCCCCCATTTTAGTGAACAAAAAAAAAATGCTACTGTTGCTAGCATATCTCATAGAATTATCCCTAGCTTAGTTCAACAGATATCATCTGCTGTTATCAAACTACACCAGTGTGTTTGTTAGGGTTCAAATTAAGACTGGAACATTTTGCTTCTCCTTAGCGGCTTATTTATTTCTCTTTCAGTTGTCTCTATGAAATAGACCAAAAAGTTCATATCTAGCCTTAAACTTTCCCAATTTGGCCAGAGCTATACATTGCACCCTGGGGGGGGGGGGGNACGGGGAGGCTCTACCCAAAAGGGGTACCTTTTTCAGACTTCAGGTATATATAAGGGTAAGGATTTCACAAGTTGAGGTATATAAAAGGGTAGGGAAATCGGTCATTTAGGTATTTAAAAGGGCCTTTAATTGAAATAATTCGAATAGACATTACAAGGGTTTAAAAAGGGGGTGCAGTGTTCTAAAGTAGGTATATAAAAGGGGTACCTTTTCTGCCAAAATGGTATACAAAGGGGTAAGGGGTTGGACCTTGGGGTGGAGCCTCCCGGTATTAAACTTTGTTGTTAAGTAACCCCCCAGGGCATTGCACCCTACACTAGCTGAGATTGTCTCACTGGTTCATCATTATCGTTAAGACCATCAACAAGCCCTTCATGAATTATGTTTAGGGCAACAGTGCCAGCCACAATGGTCATAAATAGGATATCAAATTTTTGGTCAGGTCATAAATAGGGTACTAGGGAAAATCACGATTTTGGTCATAAATAGGGTACGTGTCAGGCCGCACACCTTTAACCAAATTTTCTGGGAGTACACCCCGGGGATCTGGTACAACACAGGATATTGATTTTTGGGTTAAGTATGAAACTGAAAAGGGTAAGGGTTTCCAGAAGAGT